TGTCATGTTAAATATTTTGTTATTGAAATATTTAAATAATATGTAAAATGTTTAAAATGTTTCATTATTTGAATTTTGTTTATTTTAATGTTATTACGTAATTTTAAATATTTTGTTATATTATTTAGCTATTTTTAATGTTTTTATTTAAAATTTTTAGCTATTGAAATATTTAAATAATGTTTTATTTTTTAATGTTAAATTTTTATTATTTGAATAACATTTAAATTGAATAATTCATAAAATTATAATTTATATTGTCACTACATAATTTCATGATGAATATTATTAAATCTATTAATTTTTTTGTGTTTTGAATAAATATTTTAAGTTTAGTATATAATTTCGTTATAACATTTAAATAGTTCTGAATTTTTTTTTATTGAAACTTTCTTTAGATAGATATAGATAAAAAGTGGGGGAGAGGATAACTAGGAATTAGAGATAGTTTAGGAGAGAACATCTCTACTAAATTAGAGATAATTTAAGAGATAAATAGGAATTAGAGATAATTTAGGAGATAAATAGGAATTAGAGACAATATAGTAGGAAGTGGGGGAAAGTGGTGCAACTTGGCTAAACATTAGAAAAGCAAATCACTCTTTCTTTATGGTTGTTAAAAATAGTTAAGCATATGTGATTTCCTTATTGGTTTAATGGGTAATTATATAAAATTAAAAAAATAAAAAATTCAAAAAAAATAAAAAATTAGAAAGGGGGTTAAAACAAGGAAAGAGCTACTAAAATGACAGGACCAATTTTAATATATATATATATAGAGAGAGAGAGAGAGAGAGAGAGAGAGAGATAGATAGATAGATAGATAGATAGATAGATAGATAGATAGATAGATAGATAGATAAATAGATAGATAACTGATGTTCTTGTAGACAGAGAAGTGGAAACAATTTGTGGGTAGCAGATTTCACAGTCGATTTATGCTGCACCAAATATCAAAGTCCCCCTCTGTTTAAATATGGGCTTTAGCAACCAGACCAGGCTGTGCATGGATGTAGACCTTGACTCTTTACATTACTTAAGGCCAGACTTCCAAACCCATTAAATAGATGTGGAATTGAGATGGGCTCCCCAAAGAGTGCGCCCAAAAGCGCATCCCTCCCGTGTATTGGGAACATCTCCACATTTGAGGGGCGCATTTTACGAGAAATCCATCTGAAGGGGTTGGATCTGTTCACAACAAAAAGCTGTTTCAACATGTTCTAACATGATCTGTTTTTGCACATCACATATTGATTAGGTCTAATGTATAGCACGTCGCCCTATAGTAAGAAAAATGTCTGTGATTCAATTCGTTTAGTTTTGAAACATGAATTAAATGTTTTGGGCGTTTAATTGATAAGGTTAATACATGTTCTGTCAACTAAATAATTGTTTTGATGATACAAACATGATGCCTTATATTCTCAGCAATGCAAGCATGGAATTATTGAATATGTTTATAAAATATATAATCATTATTTATGTGGTTTTCAAATTTCAACTATGACTTTATGTATGGGACATATTCTTTTAGATTGTGCCAATTACTTAATAGTTGAGATGGCCTCTAATGGGGCAAGGATAGGGATGATTTTTCCCCCGCGGGGATGGGGATGGGGATGGGGAAATTTTCATCCCTGTTAGCGGGGACGGGACGGGGACGGGGAGAGCACTCCCCGCCCCGCGGGGACCCCGATCCCCACTAATATATATATATATATATATGTATATATGTATGCATATGTTATATATGTAAATATGTAAACATATATATATATATTAATATTTTAAAAAATATGGTTGAATATTTTTTAATATGATTGTAAATGTTAATTATTTTATTTTTATTTTTTAAAATAAAATAAAAAATAAAAACAAAATAATTAGCATTATAAAGAATCACGGGGAATGGGGATCCCCATGGGGATGGGGATGGGGATAACATTGTCCCCACTAGTGGGGACAGGGATGGGGAGCTCCCCATCCCTGCCCCGCCCCGTTGCCATTCCTAATGGTCAGTCGACATCCCTCGGAAATTGAAGGAGAGATCAAACCATAGAGCTGAAGGCTCTTCATGGAATGACAAGTGGGCCTCAAATGCACCCTACTCTGTTCCCACTCTTCATTCCCTATTATACCTTTAGGTTATGTTTGGTTTGATGGAAAAAGTAGGAAAATGTATATAAGGTTTATAAAAGTCTCCCTAACTTACCCTTCCTTTTCCTACTTTATCTTTCAAATCAAACACAGCATTAATGTTAGGGTTGGTGGAACAAACTAAATGATGAAAATGCTTTTAATTATTCTTTAAATTTTCAAAACATGCACTTGTTTGTTCTTCGGGAAAATCCACATACTTTCCATGGAAGGCCACATTGACCTTACCTTCTCCATCACCTCCACTACTCCCACCATCTCCCCACCCTTCTTAAGCATGTATAAGTTCTATTGGGTATTCAGGAATGAAGATTGCACAAGTCGCTGCTTGCCATGTTGAATGCTCTGGTCCAAACCCTAGATTGGTTAATTTCTAGCAATAGAGATGGAAATTTAACCTGTCCCCGTTTGGTCTCCGACCTGCCTTGCCCCGATCAACATGGGCTTTTTAACTGCTGATTGCGTTTAGGATGCATTTCAGGGAAACTAGAAGCTCTGGTGATAGAAGACAGGGCGAAAATGGCATTTATCCACCCACCCTGATCCTGTCCACTTAAAAATGTGTGTGTGGATGTGCGTGTCTATTTATATAGGGTCAGGGATGGGGCGTGTAAAACCCAATGACCGAACTCAACTCATTATATTTGGAAGGAGTCGAACTTCCATGTTTAAAAGTTAAGTTAGAACACATTGAGCTCATGACTGCCATTTTATAACTGCAAAAGTTGTGCAGCAAATTACAAATAACTGGACGGTTGTTAGAATCCATAAGCTCTACAGCTTGTGGCAATACCCATTAGTATTAGAGTGAGTTCCATCTTTTTTGAATCAAATTTCCTTCATATTAAGGGAGTACTCTCTATTGATGATTATCAGATGTCAGGTCAGGATGATGTGGAGTCCAAGTCAGCCATAAATATACATACCGCCATGTGGCAAGTTTCCCAAAATTAACTCCTTGTGGTCACTAATACAGTATGCATGGCCATATATGAAAATGGGTTCAGCTATGATATCTAAAAGATATCATATCTGAAAAACTTTTGACCAATCAACTGGAATCATAAAATCAGGTGTTATTTATCAAAATTCATGGATGAGTTTCGATTGGTCAAAACTCTTTCCATACTATCTTTTCGGCATCATAGATTTTCCCTATTAAAATATATAAATGGATTGGCCACCAAAGCAATACATCGCACAATTTGGACAATACCAGTGTTTTCAAAAYCGGATGGGACCGGACCGAATGATTGGACCGAAAAAATTCAGAAACCAGTCACCAAAACCGTTTTTTGGCCAAAACTATTGATTTGGTCAGAAAACTGCTGATCCAGGTGGTTGAACTGTTGAACCATTGACTCAAATAATTGTTTTTGGCCGTTTTTTATTTTTTAATCAGAGCAGGCCAACTGTTCGATCCAAATGGTCGGACCATTCGACCCAGGAATGGTTCCTTGCCTAATCCGGTTTTAAAAACCTCGGACAATACCCATCTCATCCACTTAACTAGAAAATCTTAATCCGTATATCTTAGAAAGTCTAAGTACTGACTCATATATCAAATGCTTAATCAATTCTATCTGCAATATGCAAGTAGATGTCGTTGTATAAATAAGACTTGCAAGAACTGGATATTGATCCAATCTGATCCCATCCAAATATGGGTCCATTACAGATGGATCAGGTCCAATCCAATCTAATCCGATAAATTGGTCCAATTCATTATGGCTTATTGGACTATCCAACCTATTAAAATTGGTTTTGATTAGATTGGATCCAATCCAAACTGGTCCACTGACACCACTACTCTTATCTTCTTTTAATGATTAGAAATTAATTCAACAAGACCCAATCCAAACCCGGTCCATTGACACTGCCTCTCTGTAAGAAATACTTAAGGAAACCATGAATCCATTTCCTTGATACTGTCCGAATATGCGGTTACATTGCGGCATAATTCGCCAAGCTATTTGAAGTTTCAATTCTCCTACCACAGCCAAATATTAATTCTGGCTTTAAACCTCCAACCCAAGTTAATCGGTTAAACCAGGTTAAGATCTACCTAAGCCTAGAAGATGGGCGAATGACACATGGCCCTTTGCTTCCTAATTACAGTAAGAAGATGAGGAGGATTCGAATTCTGACTTTTCCAACTGGTTGGGTTTTTGGCGATCAATTCAATCGGGACAGAATTGTCCTAGAAATCCAGTACCAGACTCTGCTGTGCTGACACTTGATGTCAACGCTTAATTTGTTGTCAACGACGCTGGCCTCCAGAAGACAAGCCGTGATCCCTTCGTTTGTATTCGGATATTCCCCAGTGCGGCCGAAAGGAGATTGGTCTGCTCTGCTCTCTCAAGTCTGATCCTTTAGGAGCCCGCAACCAACGCAGCATACTTACATCTCTCATCAACTCTCAATTACATGAATGAAGAATTAAGCAGCAGCAGCAGAAAAAGGAGACCCTGAGATTGCCCAAATGATATATGATGTCTTCTGTTGAACTTGAATCATAATTATACTCGTAATTACTAAGTCCCTACTCAAACGAAATCTTGAGAATGACATAATCCCATAAGAGTGTGAGCTGAGGTGATCCAGAACGTGGTTTTCATTTATTAATTCCTATAGAATGCCACACAGGAAAAGCATATTCTTTCTGGCTTGCCAAGAAAAACTCTGCTGATTTTGGACTGTTTGAAATCTAGCTTCTCTCTCTCTGAGGATAATATATATATAGTATTTTAATTGGGGTGGGTGAGAAGTGAGATTATATTGGCTTCTGATATTGGAAATTGCAGAGCCACAACAACGCAGGGGTTGCATCGATCAGCGCAATTATGGGGTCGGGAAGCGAAAGGACGTTGTCAAATGAGATAGAGGAGGACGAGGACGATCTCTTTGATTTCGACTTCCGCCGGCCAATTGCAATTGTCAAGGAAGAGGCAAAGGTCGACATGGGCTCAGCGCAGCTCCAACCTGGAGATCATGATAAAGTGTATGTTGCAGTGGGCAAGAACCATTGGAGCATGGATGCTCTTCTTTGGACTCTGAATAACTTGACAAAACCCTCCACTTTTGTTCATCTTATTCATGTCTTTCCAGAAGTTCGATACATCCCCACTCCCTGTATGTGCCTTGCCCTTGCTTCTCTCTCTCTCTCTCTCCATATACTAATGAATAACATACGATAATTTAGTAGTAGAAGTTGTTTAATGACTGGTTTTAGAGTACTCTTGGGTTCTGCAAAGTCAACCCAGAAACCACGTAAGTTGGTTGATCCAAGGAGCAGTTGTCTCAACTCTAAAACAAACTTTGATCACCGAATTTGCTTTCTGTTGGTAGTTGTCTCGACTTGGAATATTGTTGAGAGCTCAAATTTGTATATAAAAGCATCTTCTTCCCCAGTCCCCACCCCACCAAGTTGTTTTGCAATCTGATCTGAATGGTGCATTCACACGAGTATTATGCAGTGGGGAATGTTCCCAAGGGCCAGGTGAAAACGGAGATGGTGGAGGCCTATGTGAACCAAGTCAGAATGTATCGAAGAGGACTCCTCCAGAAGTTCTTGGATACCTGCTCTGCTTTCAAGGTAGCTTCATTCGCATTAAAATGAATTAATTCATAGCATGTTTATATATACACGATGCGCTCTTGCTTCATCTAGCTTATTCATCTGAAGGCAACATGATCAACAGGTGAGTGCAGACATTCTCCTAATCGAGAGTGATCTCAAAGCAAAAGCTGTTCTCGACCTCATTCCAGTTCTCAACATAAGAAAGCTCGTTATGGGGACCCCCAGATCTAGCTTAAGGTATATATCTCCAACCTCTCCACTACTTCCGACTACTACTACTACTACACCTTATTCTGCTGCTAGCTACTTTTTACTAAATTCCGGCCGGTTTACTCGCTCTTGTATTCAGGAACTTGAGGAGGGGAAGCCCAGTGGCTCACGGGATATCTAAGAACGCACCAGACTTCTGTGAAGTCAAACTCATATGCGAGGGCAAGGAATTAGTCATGACAAGGTAGACGATGATGGGTCTCGTCCTCTGATCAGCCGGTTTGCTTTAATTTCTTGACTGCAACCCACACATTGAGTTAAGCTTATCTTCAGTTAATTACTATTGTAATGGGTCTGTCTACTGGGTAGAGCCTGTGAAATAATGGAATTGAAAAGTTTAAAACCAAGCCTCATGACTGTAAATATTTTCAGTTGTACTACTACATATACTCGAATGAAGAAGATGTTACTAGCTAGATCAGATGTGAAAGTTTATGGTTTGGATTCGGTTTCTGAATTTTAGAAACCAAACTGTAAAGTACGTATATCATTCTAACCAAATTTGATGATTAATGAAACTGACTGTAGGTTATTAAAAGAATATCATTCTAACAAAATTTGATGTTTAAATTGACTATGCTTGTTACTCATTCTAACCAAAACTGCATTAGAAATCGCACCAAACCCTAATAAAATAGTTTCATTTAGTTTGGTCTCAAATTTTTTACCGTCAATACCCCTTAGCTATTGGAACTTTCTGCCCCATGAAGCAAAGGACAACAATGTTTTAATCTGATGGACATCTCTCTAATCGTCATCTGTTAATGTGTGGGCCTAGCCGGGCACGGTACAATTGTATGGGCTGTGCAGACCGTGCCGCTCACGGCCTAATACTATCCATATATATTTATATACATTTTATACATATAATATATATATAATATATTAATATATATAATTTTATTTTACTATTGCATGTATAAACAATTATATACATTAAAATTTATATAAAATAAAATTTTAAAATCTTTTTAATTTTTTGTCTATTTTTTAATTTTTATTATTTTTTTTTCAAAATTTAAAAAAAAATATGGCATGGCCCGATCTGCAGTCCAGCCCATGGCACGGGCCTACGTGGGCTTGGGCCATGAGCTGTGCCAGGCTGACCCCTAAAATATCCCAAGAGAGGGAAGTAATGCTCAGCTCGGCCCACATTTTGCACGGGTCGCATGCAAACCCTGCCATGCCGGCCCCGATTTACACCTCTACTATTTATACCTTTGTATAATTGTGATCCAAAAGAATAAACTTAAGGCCATTTTTGGATGGGTGGGCTTGGATTTTTTTTTTTTCGCTTTCAGGGTGGGCTTGAAAATGGCATTTGGGAATTATATTCCATTGATTTGGACTGTGCTTTTCGATCTCTAATAGAACAAAGGACCTGAATGATGAAGGATGCAATTGGGGGGYTTCTCTTGTTAGGTTTGATATCTCTGGATATAGCTTATTGGACAACACCCGATTCTTCTCTATTGATAAATGCCTTCAAGTCTAGAAAATTAAAATAAGTATTAAACTCTAATTCGATCTCATTTAGCAAAAAGGATGTTTATCCTTCTTTACCTTAGTACATAAAATTCGACGAAATGATATCAAGAACAAAAACAAAGGCGGAACAGAAAACTCAGAAATAATGCATGCAATTCTACGATAGCTTACCTACAAAACCAAACTAAATAAGTTTATATGTAGAGAAATAGAATGGGGTAAAGCCCTTATTTTGAAGTATAAAAGAAAAAGGGCGGAGCCCCTGTTTTAACATCCAACAATAACCCACCTCAGTTAAACTTATTATATATAGAACCTGAACCGAATTTACAATTTTAACGGCAAAACTGAACTATTTTGACATCCAAACCCTTTGGCATCCAAAAGAAGAATGGCGGAGACCCAGTTTTWACATCCAAAAGACAATGAAAACATTGTATATGACTTACATCAATCGACCTGTTACAAAACTAATCCCCTATGGAGCTTGATTGTTGAAAAACCCAAACAAAGATTTGAAAGAGAAGTCGGAGTGGGGCTTGATTGTTGGAATGGGATGATAGCTTGAGAGAAAACTGAGCTTATTGTGGAGCTTGATCGTTGGAACGAGACGATAGAAAATGGGAAATGATGATAGCTCAAGACCAAATCGAGTTTCCAATAGAACTTATCAATGAGGGATAAAGAAGAATTTTTTAAGAAAGAGAGAGACGTTCGGAATACCCTGGCGGGAGATGCTTTGGACTTCATTGTTATTAGGTAGATTTAAAAAAAAAATTAGGAAAAGTGAGCATGGAAGGAGAGACGTGCTGACATGTTGTGGGATGCTAAGATGTTGAGACTCTTAGTTAACTGAAAAGGCATATTGTGGGAAATGTTTTGAAAGTCTAATACAGATGGGAGGTTTTCAATGGTGGCCTTCCCTCTTTAATATGGCTGGAAGACACCTCATTAAAACAAGATAGCCGCCCTCTTTCATGCATTGTTTTGGAAGACAAAACATTAATTTGCATGACTTGTCAGACATGGGAAAATCAAACGACTCATAGAGGGTAATTGAAAAGAAAAATATAAAATATAAAAAAGGAGAAAATATGTATGTATATACATACATGTTGTCTATAAAATATAAAACTACTGACATAGTTTTAGTAGTCTAAGAATTCTTCCAAAATAAAAAACTCCTAAAAAGACTGAACCATTCCTTTATTTGTCTCATTCCTAAAATGGTTAATTGTACAAAAGTTCAAAATTGCAAACCTATCAGTCTTTGCAATGTTGTCTATAAAGTCATAACTAAGTTGATAACTAATCGGCTCCGCTCTATCATGGACAAGTATATATCTCCCAATCAAGAAATGTTTCACTTCCTCAAACATCATAGGAAATGAGGTACAGGCTATCTGGCTCTTAAATTAGATATGTCAAAAGCCTATGATCGGTTAKAATGGAATTTTCTACTTAAAGTCATGTCTCTTCTAAGAGTTTTTGACAATTTTTGCCTTTTGATCAAGGAATGTATCTCAACTGTTTCCTTTTCAGTCCTTATCAATGGTACCTCTGAGGGTCATTTTCACCCTTCCCGAGGCCTTCGCCAAGGAGACCCCTTATCTTCGTATCTGTTTATTTTAGCTATGGAGGCTCTTTCAAGACTGCCTCCCTCTTCCCCAAAAATGGGAAAATCCAAGGAATCCCACTTACTCCCTCTTCCCCAAAAATTTCCCATTTGTTCTTTGTTGATGATATAATGCTTTTCATAAGGGCCCATAGAGATGAAATTCATAATCTTAGCCAAATTCTAAAAAATTTTCAAGATGCCTTTGGTCAATTAATTAATTTTGAAAAATCCGGAATCTTTTGTAGTAAAAATATTCATCCTACACTTCAACATATGATTAGCAAGCAAATCAAAATTGGCCCTCTAAACTGAAATTCCAAATATTTAGGTCTCCCTCTTTTCTGGTTTAAGAATAAACATGGCAATTTGAATTATATTCTAGAAAACCTTAAAGCCAAATTAAATAATTGGAGGGCTTTGGCTATCAATCAAGCAAAGAAGTCAGTATTAATTCAAGTTGTTCTCCAATCCATTCCTCTTCATGCGATGTCTCTAATTTAGTTCCTCCAAAAAACCATTGAAAATATAGAACAAACAATTAGGAACTTTTGGTGGGGTGTTTCCACCAACCGAAAACATTCTTATCGCTGGTGTTCCTAGAATACTCTTACTTTGCCCCAWTCTCATGGAGGTCTTGGATTTAAGAGATTAAATCTAGTAAATCAAAGTCTTCTTATTTGGAAATCTAAATATCTCAAAAATTCTTTTGTCTTCCCTTATTCCATTCCTTCCTTAAGCTCCATTTATTGGAAAGCTATATGTCCAAAACTAATTGAATTAGCTTCTGAATGCGGACATTTAGTGAATGAAGACTCCTTCTTAATTTCCTAAATCCCTTGGATTCAATCAGATTCCAACTTCTATTGGATTTCTCAGCCTTTAGCTCCCCATCTTCAGAATATAAATATTTCCAATCTTTTTGAAGCAGGAACCTGGAATATCAACCTTATTCATTCCCTATTTCCTGCGCCTAAAGCCTTCAGAATCCTTAAAACCCCCATTTACCCTTCAAATAGTGACACTTCTTGGATTTGGTAAAATCATAGCTTTGGAAAGTATTCGGTTAAGGCAAACTATAAAAAAGAAATTCACTTATGTCTTCCGGATATCAATCCTGATTAAGTTTTTCCTTACAAAAATCTGGAAATTAACTATCCCCCCCTCGTTTCCAATTATTTTTATGGTGAATCATAAACAACTTCATCCCAGTAAAAGAATAGCTGTGCTTAGAAAACATTGAAAAACTCTGTATTTTGTGATACAAAAGTAGAGTCCTTAACCCATCTTTTCCATAATTACCAATTTGCTCAAATTGTTCTTTTCACCAACCCTTGGAATCTTCAATTTCATAATATATTTCAAAATTCTTGGACTACTGGCATTCAAAACTTGCATAATCAAATTCTGACCAAACTCTTTTTATGCATATATTGGGTTGGCTTGCCATAGCTTGGTATTTTATTTAGTTTGTTCGTAATGAAAAATCTTTTCAAAATCACCACATTCTACCTGTTTCTATTGCCAAAATGGTTAATCAATCTTTTCATCTTTCCATAAGTTGTACCAATGATTCCCAACCTCCCCTAAACCGTCCTAGGGATAGTAAGTTTTCTCTCCTCTGTCAAAATACAAATTATATAGTATTTTCAGATGCAGGAAAGAT